AATGCCATTCCGAAGATGTTTCAATTGGAAGGCAATTCTTTTTTTTTTTCATCCACCCATCCATCCATCATCCACCAGACACCCATCCTCCATTCATCCATCCATCCATCCATCTACCCTGATACTATATGGCATTCATGGGTGGGGTTTTTGTTTGTTTGTTGTTGTTGTTGTTGTTGAGAATATACACAGCAAAATATACACCAGTTCAACCATTTCTACATGTACAGTTCAGTGACATTGATTACATTCTTCGAGTTGTACAGCCACTCTCACCCTCCTTTTCTGAGTTGTCCCTCCCCCCTTAACATAAACTCACTGCCCCCTAAGGTTACTCTGGCTGCTTTTTAATCCAGGCCAAGGCTGAGCCCAGCAAAGGTGAGTGGCCGAGTGGTCCCTCTAGACAGTTCTGTACCTGGGGAGCTCTCAGAAGGATCCACTGTGGCAGCTGGGCCTAGCCTGTGAGCACAGGTGACTCTCCTTTTTCTTTCCTTCTGTCCTAGTCAGCTAGTGTTGCTGTAAGAGAAATACGACAAGTGGATGGCTTTATCAAGCAGAAGTTTATTCTCTCACAGTCTAGGAGGCTAGAAGTCCAGATTCAGGGTGTCAGCTCCAGGGGAAGGCTTTCTCTGCTCTGGAAGAAGGTCCTTGTCATCAGTCTTCCTCCGGACTAGGAGCTTCTCAGTGCAGGGACACTGGATCCAAAGGATGCACTATTCTCCTGGCTGTTGTTTCTTGGTGGTATGAGGTCCCCTTGTATCTCTGCTTGCTTCTCTCTTTTATATCTCAAAAGAGATTGGTTTAAGACACAAACTAATCTTGTAGATTGAGTCTTGCCTCATTAACATAACTGCCACTAATCGCATCTTATTAACATCATTTACAACACAGGAAAATAACATCATATGACAAAATGGTGGACAGTCACACAATACTGGGAATCATGGCCTAGCCAAATTGATACACATATTTTTGGGGGACACAGTTCAATCCATAACACCTTCCTAAGACACTGTTTTTTGCCTAGTTGTTACCTAGACCGGACCCTCCAGGAACACTTGCATCTAGCTTTTGCTGTGGTTAGTTTCCTAGTCTACACCAGAAAGCAGCCCATAGATTGGTGGTATTGAGTGATGTGTTTATCCCCTCCTCAGAAGTGCAGTGTTGAAGGGAAAAAAGGAAGAGG